CAGAGTATAACAAATCGAGAAATTGCAGCCACTAAAATGTGTTGCAGCCCTCATAAAAACCACAGATACAGGTCCTTGGACATCAGACAGCAGTGTATTATATTGCATTTCCAAGGTTATTGCGCAGACACTATCAGCTGTCCCATTTCTAAATCCACATGAACACATATTTATATATCCTTGACTATCAAGAATATTGCCTCCTAATCCGTCATATATATTTCACAACTTGCAAACACTATTCTCCGACGACAAAAACACATAGAAATAATCTCAATAAAATCACAAATCATTCTGAAGCTGCAGCATCGCAGAGACTTCCGTGAGAAGGCGAGAATTGGTTTTGCAGGTGTCATTCAGAACAAGAAGTGTTTGACAACGCGGTACCCTTGACAATTCGCCACTTAACAACAGCAAAAAACACACAACCGCACACGCACGCACACACATTTTTGGTACTGTATGCAATTCTCCTTTGGGAAAGTTTGCAGTTTTTCCTGACTGCGCAAACTTTTCATGTAAAATCGGGTCACAGGCTGATATGTTTGTGGCTTTCCCGCTTGACATATTTTCTCTAATTTGTGATGCAGCGTGCGTATAAAGAGTCATTCGTCTAACTTATCAAAACTGAAATCCATCCCATCCCTCCTCTGCTTTCAACTTTCTTGCCTCACTACAAAATGCTCAAAGCTGTCCAATAGCACCTGCCTTTTCAGCTGGGAATACCGATAGAGGCAACCGCGCTCGCTTGATCCATAATACATGCGTGTGTGTTTCAGGTGCGTGTGCTGAAGTGAAGAATGCTTGTTGTGTTGCCGCAGACTGGAGCGAGATGGCCGGTGCGAATGTGCCTGCCTGCAGCTTGTACTTTCCACTGTTCTCTCTCTCTCGAAGAGCTTCAGCGTGGCCCGAACGATGAGCGCTCATAGAAAACAAACACCCAATATGTGGAAGGTCCTCGCAGGAGCAGCTGTTTAACTATGTATCGAGGAGAACGCCGGGGAAGGCTGGCGATGGCGCTGTGGCGAAGGAGGAGCTGGCTCTCTCATACCAGCAACAAAAAAAGATTTTCTTTTTTATATAATTTGAACGGGTACTAACTTTGATGAAAGAACATCCAATTGTTATAAACAAAGTTGATATAATTCTGGAAGTAGCATGTGTTAATTTTCTGATAAAGGTGATTGTGTAGGCCTTATGCATTTACAGATGGTGTACCAAGCTATCGTCAGAGAGAGAAGAATCCCGCACACCGTCTTACTTGCAAATAAAAATTATTTATTTAAAGAGCTGCGACGTTTCGGCGTTATGCCTTCATCAAGCAAACATGTTTTAGGCTCTAGGCTTTAGGCTCTACAGGCCTCCTCTCCAACGCACCCGTTCTGAAGGTTTTTGATGTGCGATTCCCTACTCCATTCATTTCGCTGTACCAAGCTATTTTACCAAAAAAAAAAAAAAAAAAAATATATATATATATATATATGATACACATATATACAAAGATCTCAGCTCCTGTGGACTCAGCACTTGGAGGAGGATCAGTGAGGGGCTGGTGCTAAGCCTACTGGGTGCAGCTCTGACTGCCACCCCCCGACCCATAAATGGATTAAGGGTGTTTGTGTGTGTGCTTTGTTTGACTCATGTACAAGAGTCAAACAAAGCTCTTTCCAATTTTGTGTATTTTTTATTCAGCCCACTCGTGGTGAGGACGAAAGCAACCATACTCATTACCAACCATTCTTAATCATGTTTTTAGTGATGGGGGAAATCAGAGGAAACTTACACAGACACGGGGAGAACAAGCAAACTCCACACAGGACTTTCTTGCTGTGAAGCCCAATTGATTGCATAAAAGCCTCTACAATCTTTGGGCTGAGGGCTGAGAGACCTGGGAGTCAATCATCACTCTTTTTCAATGTTCTTGTGAAAACTAGTTTTAGAACCAACATTTTCCAGTTACAGAGACTTTTAATACATATAGTTACATATTTGTGGTTTTAAAGTTAGGTACCCCATCTTTTCTTTCAAACATTTCTTCCTCCAAAGCCCAAACTATGTTCTTTTACTGCGAGAAGCCAACTCAATTAAAACCCCATCATTGGCAATTAGAATAAAAATTTATCCATTGCACAAAGCCCCAATGTCTTGCTTATTACCTTATTACCTTCTTGTTTATATGCAGCATGTGTTGCCCAATATAGCAAGGATTCTTTCCCCCATTTGTTATCTAATTGTTATCTAATATCGCGAACGACTTCTTTATATGTGCTGCCGGAGGACACGAGTCTTATGTGGTGCGTTGACACAGAATAATAATTAGGCAACACGTCGCACAGCTCTATTAATAACCAAATAGTCAGTCTAGTCACTTGTGTTGAGAGAGACACATGTTGGAAATGTAATTAGCTGTTTGCAGCCTATCGCCGCTGAAGACCTGAGGGCATGCACAGGCAGTTAGGGAGTGTGCCATGAAAGCCAAGCACTAAATCAATGTTATTAGTTTACAGCAATGGTCAGTTGAACTTGCTGTAAATCTTGTCCATTTCTTCATCAAACAAGGACTGCATCATGTATCAGGAACATATGGTCTTGGCGGCGGTGGCAAGTGCTTCATCCATATTGCAATTATGTGGATAAATCATATGTCTCTTACTTAGACCAATCACATGCTAGCTTAAATGCGCGCCTCTTGAAAGTCGTGCTCACGTGAGAGATGGTTTTTAGAATGTAAATGAAATTATTGAAACATGTCAATCTGGGTTCAGAACAAGACATAGCACAGAGTCTGCGCTCCCGTCTGTTGATGCTAAATGTTGTTTTAGTGCTTCTTGATCTTACAGCTGCTTCAACACTGTGGATCATTCTGTCCTGTCTCACCTGAAGCATCATGTTGGCGTCTGCCGCCTCGCACTTAGGTGGTTCCAATCATACTTCAGTGGTAGAACATTGTCTGTTGTGATTGGTGATAGGTCTTCCTCTGTTGCCTCTCTGTCGTGCGGTGTGCCTCAGGGTTCTATTTTGGGCCCCATGTTGTTTCTCTTTATACTTTACCACTGGGGTCCATTATCGCCCAAAATTAAGAAACATTTAATCTATTTCCCCGTTTTGTCAAATGGAAGTGATGCCGTGACATGTCTGATGATTTTACTTTTGTCTTTAAAGCCCTCAATGGTCTCGCCCCTCCGTACCTGTCCGAACTTTTAACTGTTTGTGACTCAGGCCGATCATTGAGGTCCTCAACAAAACTCCTCCTGGAAGTACCGAGGACTAGGTCAAAACACTGGGGTGACCGGTCCTTCTCAGTCGCTGGACCCAGACTGTAGAACAAGCTGCCCCTGGTATGCGAGTGCTTACTGATTTTGGCCTTTTTAAATCAAAGCTCAAAACATGTTTATTCATACTGGCTTTTAACACTTTTATTTTTTGGTTGTATGAATGTTTTTTGATGGATTTTATGTGATTTTATTGTAAAGCACTTTGGTTGCCTTGAGTGTTGTAAAGGGCTCTATAAAGCAAAATTGATTGATTGATTGATTGAATGCAATAACAGAAGATAACGGAATATATATTGTTATTGCGGCCCTTGCCACCACTGTCATCACACTTTTTTCCAATGTTGTGCAGCAGTAGTTAAACATGTTCTACTTTAGTTTGTCCATACAAACGATACTACTGCAGGAATCCTCTCTCAGCATTTGCCTGCTCTGATGCTGGAAGACTGAAGCTGAAGCTCATCAATCACAATCAGACTTCATTTTTCAATAAGTGCCAGAGGAACAAAGGCTGCCTGCCAGAAAAAATGCATCATCGACAATGTGGTCATCCAGATATGTAGTGAAGCAAGAGCTCTAGTCTGGAGATGTCAAGAATCACTATTGGCATTTTTCTCCTGGAATGCAACAATCCAGCCTGTCAGTTCAAGGCCAGAGCAAACTATAGCAAGCGTACTGTTACCTAGATACGCACTGATATAATCACACTGCAATCGTTAATAATGGGTTAGAAAAACAATTCACACTCTTGATTCAATATCAAGAGTGTGCTGTTGTGAGCGATTAGCTGCCCTTAACATCACAGCAAATGGATTTACCATGTACAGCTCTTATAGAACTAAAACCATTAGAAATGCACACGCATTTAGCCCCTGAATTCCCAAAAGAAAATCTTTTAAAAAATGAAGAAAAGTTCAGGAAAAACAAAGAAAATGTGGTGCTGTGAACTTTGGAGTTGATCACAAACAATTCACAATGAACCCACGGCAGTAAATAATGATGATGCCGTAGTAACAGCGCCCGGGAACCCATCTCCAGATGTTGATGCTTGGCTTGGTCAGGACCAGAGCTGGAGGATTTAACCTAGTGAGCATGTTTTTAGTGGTAGGGGAAACCGGAGTACCCGGAGGAAACCTACGCAGGCACGGGGAGAACATGCAAACTCCACTCAGAAATACCCTGTGCGTTGTGACGCTCGATCGTGCGTCACCATTGACTTTGCATTGAAAGCCGACGCAGCATGATCCGGTCTGAAAGCACCATCCCTCTCTCCAAGCCTGCCTCCTGTGCCACACCACTTTGTTTTTCTGTTACCGTTCTAGGTTTTTCGCACCATACAACCTCACAACCATCCACTCACCTACACCACTGATACTGCAGACAGTCACACCTCATTGTTACTTTTACTTGGTTATACTTGGGTTAATCTTCTTTGAAAAACAAAACAGCCATCAAGTATCCTATTTTGTTGTCTGCGTCCATATTTGTCATGGCCTTGAGCCAGGTTACGACACCTGGTCCTTGCTACTCTCTTCCACTTCCTCTTACGCCCGGGGCGTCTTGAACTGTCTGAATTATAGAGTGCTCGTGTCTCCTGTTTGGCCACGCAGCCTTTCTTGTCACGAGTGTTGACCGTGAGCCTCCAGCGGCTCTCTCGGGCCGACAAAAGGCAGTCCGCGCACAAGATAAATATTTAGACTAAGTGAATTGTACGACTGCGGGCCTTACCATTGTTGGCTTGTCTTTATGCAGCACCTCGGCCTTGTCCATGATCTGCACTGCAGCCGGTTTCTCTGCAAACACCAAAAACAAAAGTCAACTCTAGCCTAATCAATACCTCCGAACTTTAGGAGAATGGTTGATGCAAGATGGTCCGGAGCGTTACGGGGTGAAGCAGGGATAGCCTCTCTTTTTTTTAAGGCTGCAGATAAACAACAGAGCAAATGTTTTGTTTATGGCTGATCTATTGCATTTGTGTATTCATCAATCCTGAGCAATAAGAATCTTCTTAGCAAAACAACATACAATTATACATTTTCTGATAAGGGATTTAGCAGTTCTTTTAAGTAAGTAAGTGAGTAATGTTTATTTATATAGCGTATTTTACAGACCACGGTCACCCAAAGCCCTTTACAATGTTCAGAGTCAGATATTGTTCCAATCCTTCCACACACGGTGATGACAGAAGCGAGTCCAGAACACACTGGACCATCAGCTCCAATCAACACCATCCATTCACTCTCCCATTTACATTCAGACCTATTATGCATGTTTTTAGTGGTAGGAGAAACCAGAGCACCCGGAGGAAACCTACGCAGACACGGGGAGAACATGCAAACTCCACTCAGAAAGGCCCTGTTCCGACCGCGATTCGGCCAAACAGTGTAAAAAGTCCACTGCTGAATATGTGGATGAACTGTGCCAATACATTTCCCTGCCTTGCCCGATCGATAAATGGGAAGAAGTTAGGGCGGACAGCTGATATTTCAAAAACTTAAAACCTCAGCTTGATTATCGTCGATCTCTCCAATCCGCCTCGGCCTGAGTGAAACGCAGCAGAACATAAAGCTTAGTTAATATTGGTTCTGTTGGACATCATTCCAACACGGCCACACTTAACTACAACCTAACGCTCTTTCCAAGGCCTATTGAGCTGCTCTCTTCATGTCCTATTTCACGCTTGGTTTTGTAAAACCCATTAGCAGGTGATCTACGGGCGGATTTTTAGGGAGTAAAATTCAGATTTAGAAGCAGACCTCCCCGAGCATGAAGGGAAGTGCGACGACACCCCGGCGTGCCTAAAAACAACATCTGAACACAATTAGAACCCACTTCTCCACGAACACATATCGCTGCTGTATCTGTAAGCGTCACAAATGGTATTGTTTTCACTCGATGGTTAATTAGTCGATATTAATGACTTGACTTAATTACTCTATGCCTATTGAAGCCTGTAGAATAGAGTTTGATATTATAAGTATTTGACCCCGTTTGGAGCAGGCCCAGAGACGGAAATGTGTGGGAGAAAACATGCAATACTAATTAAATGTGTTTTCTTCCCTACCAGGCTACAAGGAAGGCAAGGCAAGTGTATCTGTTTATCACAGTTCATACAAAAGGGAGCTCAAAGTGAAAGACTTGCTAAATAATAAGGAAAAAAACATTAAAATCATAAAAGGCATTCAAATGATAAATAATCATTAAAATTACTGAAGCTACAATCCTTCAGTGCTATCCACAGCTAACCAGTACTTGTTTTAACCTGAATTTGAACATTGTCAGAGTAGAAGCCTGCCTCACAGTTTCAGGAAGATTGTTCCAGAGTTTGGCTGCCTCCCCATGTTTAGTCCTGACTTTGGGTACCAGCAGCTTATTATCTGTTTGGTCGCACAATGTGTTAATCATTATAGTTCAAAATAGTTGTGTACAGTTGTTTATTTATAATTGTGATTAAATTATGATACATGTTGCAAAATGTTAGCATCTTGTGCAGTGCAGTGTCTGTCACTCTGCATGAACTGAGTCTATATCATATATTGGTTTCACATTTGTAGTTGAAGTTTAACATTGGGATTAACAGAGGTAAATAATTGTCTTACTGTGCACGAGGACCGAGACGGGGAACTCGTTGAGGTTGCTGACGGACACCACCATGCAGGTGAAGGTGCGCTGGTCCAGGAGGGTGGCCCCGCTGATCAGCAGGTTGTACTTGTCGTCGATGCTAACCCTGGAGGCGTATCCGTCCGTGGCCTCGACCGTGGCCTCCTTCTGGTCCTGTTTGACCAGCAGATCTCCAGCCGAGCCGTCGGCCTTCTCCTAAAGTCAGCGCAAACACAATGGTATTACAGAAAGGCAGTGGTGGGGCAGAGCTGTCTGTACAGCGGCCATGAAGCCTGTTTCATCTGTTTGCTCATGCCCAACATCTCTGGGCAAATAGAGCCAACAGGGCTTCACTCTGCTCTCATGCTGCGTGCGGGTGTATGAAGGAGGAAAGCCAGGCCGAGACTCTGTAAACACAGGATTTCACAACCAGTAGCTTCAAAGTGGAGTCTGCAACTTTTATCCATCCATCCATTTTCTACCCTTTAATCCATTTCTGGGTCAGGGGGGTGGCAATCAGACATGCCACCCAAGTCTCATAGCACCAGCCCCTCACTGACCCTCTGCAGGTGGTGAGTCCACAGGAGGACGGCTGCTCTCTGAGTGTGAGCATAGCCTTGATCTTTCAGTGGGGGCTTTGGGCAAAGTGGGGTTAAGTGTCTTGCCCAAGGACACAACGACAGCAGTCATCAGTGGGAGTCGGTGGAGAAGGTGCAGAGGTGGGAATTGAACCCACGACCTTCTGGCCTTAAGGCCAATGCTCTACCAACTGAGCTACTGTCGCCCCTCTTTTATTTTATTTCCTCTTTTATTTCACTGTACTATTATGTAAGATACGTATTTCAGAATCACAAACATAAATATTTCTATTGTCATTGTAAGTAACAGGAATTTGCTTTAGCATTTGGTGCAAACAAGGAAAGTATAGATAGGAAGGCATTTAAAAAATATCCTGATTCATAAATACACACAATTGACATTTAACAATGCAGATCATTGATAAATGTCCGGAGGTATGATATTATAAGGTGGCAGAATATTTCAACAAAATATCAACAATAATATAATTACAACAATTCTTTACTTGAAATAATGTTGTCCAATCAGGAAGCTGCAGGGGAGCATGGGCCGGTCTGCCCAATGTTCAAAAAATATAATCTAGTTTCTGCCTCTAACAGGTTGGTTCTATCAGTAGTTTTCACATGCATGTATTTTTTTAAAATCTTTTAATCAGCTTCTTCAGACAGAAAAGTGACAAAAGACATCCTCACTCGAGTAAAATAGTGACTGTAAGTATTCCAAAGATACGATGTGCACTAAAAAGATGAAGAAGGCATCTTATATGGGAGGAGGTTCTTGTTACGAGTGGATTATCGAGATTATTAGTCCTCCAAACTGTCGTGCTTGTCAAAACAAGAATGTTTTTTTGGATATTGGTGCATGATACGCAGAGCATGCACAGGAGAACTGGACTTGTGCATGTCTCTCACACGTTTTAGAGGCCGTTCTCTCTTCCCAGGTAGAACATTGCGCATGTGCATTTTTCCAAAAAGTTGGGGAAAGGACAGTTCTGCCCTAAAGTTTGAAACCTCCGCCTCGACCCCTTTTAATGTATTAAAACACATGTAGGTCTGTATCTTGATAAAAGCTGTTATCAGTACTGTTGGCGTCAATATCTAAATCATATGGTCACATTTTGTTACTTGCTTTGTTGAGATTTGACCTTCCACAAAACCGTTGAATTTGATGCCATTTTGTGTAGGCGTGGGGGAAGCTTTTTGCTGTTCAAATAGAATAAAATAAAGATATATACAGATTTTATCACAACATTTTTACTTTTACAAGCCTCCTGGGACATTAAACATATTAAGTAATTATGAAATAAAGTTTTAAGTATTCTTATAATTATAGTGAGTTGCCTGCCACGATTATTACTTACTACGCCCATTTAGCAGTCAAGAGCTAATGAATGGACAAATGTATTCTGGAGACCAATATTTGTCATTATTTTCTGTGCAATTGTAGAAATATATTTTCCATGTTCTTTCTAATATGTTACAATTTGAGCTGAATAAAATGCTTTTATTGCTAATTCTTGCTTAGTTTAGCAGTTTACGTATGTCTTTAGCACTAGTGACACAAACTTATTCCAAAATTATTATTCATCGTAATTAGGGAAGTCAAATCTATTTCTACACAAGTTATCAACTAATTTAGTATTTGATTCGTGTTTCAACAAAGATTTAATGATAATTCTATAATGACTGAAGATGTTCTCCTGGACCACCTGTAGCTCGCCACCCCCTCCCAGGTAGCTCGCCAAAGGATTTAGAATTGAACAACTCAAATAATATTCTGAATATTTCGTAATGTATTATTCCTTATAGTTATTTATTATACTTTGTGCACAGGTGATGATAATTAATAATCCCGCTGTCAGGCTCGCTCTCACCAATATATCATCTCATTATTCCCCGGACCGTATAAAGAAGTAGCTCCCTGTCTTTCTCGTGTTTGCAAAGTAGCTCTCTGGGTAAAAAAAGGTTGGAGACGCCTGTTTTAAATTAGACCCAAACATCTCTGTATCACATTATCTTGATACATGATGAGGATCTGGCTTTCACATGAAACTTGTGACTGGCCTAATGAGATGAGATGGCTGCACCAAATGCGTTTTATTATAATAATGTAACATCCTCTCAAGAAATTGTAACTGCAGATTTCCTCCAGCTGCTCAAGGCATTTTCAAAAGGCACAAAACCATTCCTTGCTTGAGTGCACCTTCCCATTGTTAGCACCTCTCTGGTAATATCTACTCTCCCGTGTCTAGTTGGATTTCTGTTTTATGGCTTACTTTCTAAGCGGTTTATATTGTAAATTGCCTTTTGTTTCCACAAGCGTTAGAGACAAATTGAGTTTTGAAAATGCGGAATACAACCTTTCGCTTCCCTTTATTACAGAAACGCATTAGTGTAATTGTTAACTTCAGAATCATTCAATGTTTAATATAAGGGCCAGACTGTGCCAAGTCCCATTGTCTCCATGAACATTAGCACACACAGACTGACAGATCCTCATTTCTTTGGCTGATTACACCAGAGACTTTGAAGACCCGTATTTAATGCCATCAGGAATGCCGGGCACACAACCAAGACAGATGCTACATTTAGTTTGTAACGTTTAGTCAAAGATTATCCATCACTTACAAATGTGTGAGCAGATGTCTGTAGCTCAGAGAGGTACGTGTGGCAACAAGTTCTGCCGTTTTGGGAATAGATCCTCAAAAACTCCAGACTTTGCCTAGTTTCTATAGTAATCTCCTATTAATATATCTACGAGTCTGGGATCAGGTTCTGTGCAGTCGAGTATCATCAGGGCGGGACCATAGACTCAAACTGTCTATTTGAGCAGGAATGTGGAGAGAAATTCATGCAAATTTGTTTGTAGACATAACCCAGAAACCAAGAGCCAATCAGGAGTGGAGCCAGTCTGTGACAGAAGACACCTGAATGGTCAGTTGTTCAAACCATGGATAAGCTCAAAATGGTGACTGTGACACAAACACTTACTGATCTAGGGGAGCTATAGTCAGTCAGAGCAAAAACTTTGTCCATGAGCATTTTCCTCTCTGCGCTTCATTGAGCTAGAGGGTTATCATTGTCCATACAATCTGACTCTATCTTTCTAAAAGCTCCTGTCTCAGTATGATGTCGTTTCATCACTATGACATCAAACTAAGTTTTTATAATGTCATTGGTGAAATTATTTAGTTTACAATTGCATGGATGTGATTGCAGCCAGAAAAGGGACTCTGATGGTAGAATAGGGAGTTGTAGGCAAAAAGGGAGACATTTTTACCTTTCATAAATGTCCCATGGGACAAATCATTTCACGTTTGAAAACATGAAATGACAAAGCAAATATTCTTATCATTTGTAATGGCCAAAAATAAGGCATATAAATGATTCTTTAAAACTTCTGATAGGATCATTTACATCAATAACAAGAGAGAGCTAAGTGATTCAATTTCCACTTTGCGATGTGAAAGTGTAGAACAGAAAGTTGGTACGGGAAGGCCCAGGCTGCTCCAGACCATGCAGCACCGGGAAAAACACATTTACAGATTCTACGCACAGACCGCCTTCGCTCCGTGACTTGTGTCCACAGAAGAGCGTGCATTGATTTTCAGCACTTTTGAGTCTCACAGAAGGATCCGGACGGGTCTAGACCAGCCCCTGACTCACATTCTGTTTTTTAAAGCTGGTGTAAGGAGAGGACACTGGTGCAGGAGTTCTTCAAAGGGGAAAGAAGAGCCAGTGCACTGAAGTACTCAGACTAAAAGTCAATTTCACTCAATCAGATGGACTGAACATTGTTTGAGAAAAGTTCTAAAACCTTTTACCTCTGCTGCACAATATAGACACGAATAGATCATAATAAAGGAAGAGAAATCACTCCTCTTTTATTTGCCATTAGGTGATACTGGGCTTTTACATTCTGAGGACAGTGATGGCTCTCTCAGATTAATATATAACTGTCTGGACCTGGACTTAAAACGGTTTCTTGAATTGCAAGCAAAGCCAAATAAAAAAGTTCATTCGTCAAAATATCCCCAAAAGGCTAAAACTTTGCTTTTACCAAACCACTGTTGATCTAATTTGGCCTTGTCTTCCAAAACCCTAAATCATTGTTTGTACTCTGCAGGTTCCACTTATTGCCGATGGCTTACTCGCGTTACTTTAAAAAAGAGAAAAACTCCCACGGGACTCCATGTAAAAATTAACAAACGTTTATTCCACACTCTTGTACACAAAATTACTTTGGCGAGTTGTCTCTTAATAAAATAAATGCGGTAAGAAAACCGTTTGGCTCCTTATCTCCTGAGCTGCCAAAGTTACGTGCCTCTCTCTTCTCTTCTCGCTCGCTCCTCTGTAAACAAACCAATCTCTCTTAAAGCGACGGTAACGTAAATGTTATATGTAAAACAAAAATAACCTAGTTCAACAAGGGTATTTACAAACATAAAATGTAGTTCCTAAATTAACGTAAAATACTAATTAAGCAAATAAATACGTTATTATTAATTTATAACAAAATGAACAATCAAATTAGTAACACTCTAATATACACTATGCAACATACAAATATCTAACCAACTAAGCTTAACTTGGCTCCCACATTATTAAACACATGAATGTTTTTCCCATTGTGTCACTGTTGTTTTAGATGTGTTAAGACGCTGTGTCCGACCCGGTATTGCTCGGCTGTCGTGTTTTGAGTCCTGTGTTAGCTTTTTACCAGTGACAAAACATAAGGGTCAAAAACAAATGTTCAAATTTCAAAACATGTCTTCTAAAGTCACAGGACCAGAGGGAATCACAGTATGGACAACGGCAAGTTTATCATCACATTGAGTAATATAAATAAGTTCAAAAAGAGGGAGCAACATGTGCAAAAGCCCAAACTCTGACAGTAAGAGCTTCAATCACCCTAACACAGCTCCTCGGCTCATTGCGCTCATTTGCAAATGGCCGTCTCTAGCGTGACTTGAGCAAAGTTTTGGAACCTTCTTCACCTGACCCAGATGTAAGTGACCTGTAGTCTACATTACTGCTATGTGTGGTCAGAGTGTTCACACTGACCACATCTCGGCTGAAAGACTAGGTCGCAGGGGTAGGCTTAGATGCTTTAGTTGTTTTGACACCAACCAAATGTGGAAGGAAAGGGCACCCTGGGGTTTTTAGTTGAGACGTGTGTGTTTTTTTGTGCTTATGGCACAAGTAGTATACTTTAACATCTCAGAGAGCTAGTTGGAAAATCTCTTGGGGCAGAAAGGCTGAACTTGAGAGTGTAAAACCACCAACCAACTAAACTCATGCACTCCAATCTGTGTTACCGTGACATATTTTTTCATAAAAAAATACATTTAGTTTGACCCAATAGAAAGAGTCTTGTGAAAGTAAAATATTGTGAACAAAGACAGACAACTTTTCTGTCTGAAAAAGTTGATCCAAAGATTCCACAGAGGCCAAAAGTACATGCATGTGAACACTACTGACAGAACCCAACTTTCTGAGAGAGAGTTACATGGATTGTTAAACATTGTTCAGTTTGTTTGTGTTAGATACCCAGCTTTGATAAAATACGTGGTCGTGCCATATTAACTAACTCAGAGTCTAAAGCCTGGTTCACACGGCAGGATATTTAGGCCGATTTAAACCCGATTTACCCCTTACGACAATCTTAAGAAACGCTCCGATTTCCGTAACAAAATCTTACAGATTATCCTGCCGTGTGTGGTGTGTTAAGACTGCACTCGTCGCTCGGAAGGACATCGGGACTGCTCCCGATCTCAAATCGGGGATATCCAACATGTTGGATTGTTTTGGCCCGATTTCTCGTCGTGTGTGGTGTCCTCCGAGGACAAGCGAGCGCGTTGCCATGACTACGGCGTGTAGCCAATAAGAAGACAAGGTGACAAGCCGGTGAGGAAACACCGGAAAAAAACCAAAACACAGCAGCATGGCTTTGACCATTGCCTTTTCTGTGGATTACGTGTCTTCTCTGTTAACAACAAACTGCACACTATCGCCACTGCATCCTCTTCGTCCGCCATGACTGTTTACTCTGAAGTCACGCTTGATCTCGAGAGATTTTGTGAGATTTCCGTCTGACCTGGGAATGCTCGCGGGGGGGGGCGCTTGTGTGATCTTGCCGTGTGGCTACGCACCACACATTGCACGACCAAAGTGTTTAGACGCAGGATTTTTAATCTCCCCGTGTGGGGTCTAACACGGAGAAAAATCGGCCGACAATTTTAAAATCGTCTCGTGTGAACCAGGCTTAAGGAGCACAGGGACAGTCCTGCAGGGAGGGAGGCTTTCTTCTATTCCAAGTTCAACCTGTTTAGCTGTGATTGGACCTTTACTGTTTTAATTTACTGTGATTATTTATCATTTAAACACGTAGTATGATTGTTTCATCTTGTTATGTTGAGCACTCTAATTGGCCTTGTGTATGGACTGTGAACAGTAGAATTATATCAGTTATATTATAATGTTAATGAATATTGAAGGCATTGTCTTTAAACTAACTGTGTTGTCAAAGTTCACTGTGATAGAGGTTAAAGGGTTACTTGTTGATTAAGATTAAGAGATCCTTTATTTGTCCCACAGTGGGGAAATTTCGGTGTTGCATCACAAGTTATAGAACAGTAGGAAAGAGGGGCACACGTTAAGAGGACAATAGCTTTACTAATTAAAATAAAACAAAATCTCTAACTCTAGCATCAATAATAAGTATACCATGTCTATCTTGAAATTAATAATAGATGTAAAAATGTAACACTTAAGCACAATAAGAGGCAAGTATAAAGAACCGTTGTCTTTCATGTTTGCATTGTTCATGGATGTCTATTTGTCTCTAAGTTTGGTTGTGAAGTGACTTTGCTAAAGTGCCAATCTTTGGGTTGTCAGCGTGTGGTGAGCCTGGAAACCTTTTTAGGCTAAAATGGTTGAACTGTGTCAACAAACTAATGGTTCGGGCCATATGGAATCTTTGGAGTGACAATAATGTGACCATGTTGTAGTGTGTTTTTGTCTGAATAAATAGGCCTGTGATACTAAGGAGTTCAGTGCATGCACGGTCACAGCACCAAGATCAGAGATGTGCCGTGACCGTGCAGGCGCTCCTTGTATAAGTATATATTTCTGTTGTGTTGTCTTTGTCCGGGCACTGTAGTTTACTACCATCTTTAACAGTTACACACATAAACTTGCCTTGATTTGAAGCAAGCCATCAGGAATGCCCCCCCACTCCCTTACAAACCAAACAAATACATGTTGGAATCATTAATGCCTTGCTCATGACATTTCAAATACAACCTTACATACTCAACATCTCTAAGGATGATTCCCCTGACCTTTCGCCTGCATGTCAGCTTGCATTAGTATTACACATAACACTCACATTTCTCTGGACATTATCTAAAACAAAGGGGGATCGAACCGCGTGAAGAAAGAGAAGGTCAGTGCTGTCATACGATTCTCATTCTCAGTGAACTCTGTCTCTGCTCAGGCAGTATGGCAGACGGACTATGCTATTGACTCACATATTTCCACTTGATGAACATGAGGTTGCTGGGAGGCGGGGACCCTCCATTGCACGGAACCAAAATGGTCTCTCCGTACAAGGCCGTCACAGCGTCGGAGCCCCACGCTGCAACACACAGAGGGCACACAATTATTATGACAGCATGTGTATTAAGTACGTAATGCAGATGAAACACTTGAAATCCTTTCCATTAACACTGTTGAGTGCTTGCGTGGCCTTTGACGTGTTTGTCTGCTCTGATCGGTGGAGTCATGTTATTCGGTTTATCTGTGAGGTGAGAGTAAGAGCATTCCAGCGCTTTGTTAAGGAGCACCTTTTCAATGCTTGTTTCCCACAGGCAGAGATCACAGGGACTAAAATAAAGTGAGAAAAGGTAAGTAGCTTCTGTGAGTCAGAGTCAAAGATAGAATAAGAGTTTTGACAAAAGAAGGAAACTTTGGTGTATCTTTGATCTTTAAGACACAGGAAGTGGGTTTGTTGGGCGGATTTTAAAATAACCTCTGCAGCAGTGCTCTGACATAGACTTATTCTCCTCTAACATACTTTGTAGAATAAGATGTATATGTTGACAAGTAGGGAACGACCAAGTTGGATTTCTACAGGTATCCGATTTCAAGTCGGAGGAAGTTTGTTTACCCACACTACCTAAATTGTCGTAAATTTTGAGTTTTAAGTCGTAAAAACTGTAGGATTTGTTTTTCATACGGAAACCGGCTTCATACTCGTGTGGGGCAGACATGAAAATATTGATGTCCATTTGGTGGAGCAAAATTCTTCAGAATGATGATTGCCTCTGTTCTCACTAGATACTGTTTTCTGGAGGTTATAACGTCTAAATTGATATATGTATGACTTGTTATAGTACGTACACATTGTTTTAATACAACAAATGCATTCTGGAGATCCAAAGATTTATAATGTGATATAACATGTCTATATTGTTAAAATTTTACCAAATGAATGGCTGAGTGAAGGCAACTTCCATTGGATAAAACCAAAACCTGGAGTGTTCCAAGCTGCACTGTGGAACCCTGCAGGTACAATACAATACGATACAATTTATTCTTGTATAGCCCTAAATCACAACAGAAGTCATCTCAGAGACTTAACAAAACCATTGAAATCACCAACACAGATCAGAGAATATAGAATATAGAACACATGTTGAAAAATGTCATACATGTTGTAGAATGTTAAAGTGCCCTGGATCATCATCAGGTAGACTGTCCTTGGAACTCTGTCACAGAACTTCCATAAGTCTGAATATCTGGCCTCATGCCTTACCGATTGATGTGAATGTTTACAGAATTCAAAATCAACAAATCATTTTAAATCTCCTCCCACAAAATCCACGTCCAGTTCCTATGCTAGTCCTATGCTAGTACAGAACTGTAGCAGTGCTGGCCAGACTGTCATCTTAGGTGGCCGTGTGTGAGATCGCTGCCAAGAGACCAGAAAGCTCTCAAGAATGCCAGTTGTTCCTTTGACTCCTGACTCTTGCGGTCAAAGCGAGCCTTTCTATGACGCCTCAAAAGTTCTGGGGAAAAAAGCAGATCCAGACCACTGCTCCGCACAGTCACACGGCCCAGTGCCAAGATGTGGCGTTTGCAGCGTGCCTCCCATTAAGACTGGAGACAGAGGCGGGAGAGGTCGAGTTAGATGGGTCAAGCTTTGGCTTTGAGAAGAGTGGAGCGAAGGGGCAGTTACCAGCGTGGGAGGGAGCTGGTGACAGAGATAGATGGACAGAGATCAGAGTGTATGTGTGTGTGTGTGTGTGTGTGTGTGTGTGTGTGTGTGTGTGTGCGCGCGTAAGAAGAAGGTAAAAAAGGCACTAGGAGGTCTTCACGCTGCGATTAGTTACTCTTTGAGCTCTGGGCCCAAACTGGCAGAACAAGAAGCAAGTTGAGATTCTGGTCATTCCACGCGGATGAGGCTATAGGGCAGGCACAAGTGCAGCTGCTGCTCAAGTGGCGTCTGTCAGCTCTTTTTGGTCTGCCTCACTCCTCCTGACACGTTTTAGTGTTGATAACATGAACAGTGCTAGGTCAGAAAAGCTCCACAGGCACAAGCTTGAATTATTGATGAAGAAAGCTGCAGCTCAAATGTGATCTGGTGTGCAATGACAAAAGACAGCTATGAAAGATGATGGTGTGAAATGATTTAATTGAGGGAAGTCAAAGTCGTACGGAATGCGTTTGGATTAGAATAATTCAATCTTGCCCTTTAAAGATGCTCAAATGATGAATGAAATGTCAAACTTAAGCCTAGCCCCTTTCGGTCTGCAAAAAAGTCAATCTATGGATATACAATACACAATTACACAATACAATACAATTTATTCTTGTATAGCCCTAGGTCACAACAGAAGTCATCTCAGAGACTTAACAAAACCATTGAAATCACCAACACAGGTCAGAGAATCAACAGTTAAAACACATGAAGAATATAAAGCACACACAGAAGAAAATGTCCATACATGTTGTAGAATGCTAAAGTGTCCTGATCATCACCAATCCTTTCTGTTGGACACTAACTGTCCAACAAGACCCTCCTGCATCGACAAGGAAAAACTCTTAAAAAACCCAGTGGGAAAACGTGAGAAACCTTGGAGGAGAACTAGGGAAACCCACAGGGAGGGAGACCCATATGAGAAAGGGATCCGCTCCTCCGGACGGACAGGCTAATGATCTAGGACCTAAGCTAGCTACAGAACGTGGACCAGTGGCCGCTGAACGTGGACAGGTCCGGTGCAGGACCGAAGCACTCCCAGGCGGGTCGGGCGGGGCAGTCCGCAGGTGTAGATGGAAGAGGCCAGGCTCAGAGATCCCGTCATCGTACCATGAAACAGACAATGGGACAACGGGTGAATAGCAATGAACAAACTACAGTCAGAATCCTAAAAATGCTAAACAGATAAAGTAGGAAGGAGGAGAGGATAGTGCTCAAGTTACCATACTTCTCCCAGCAAACTGACTCCCTATGCAGCTTGACTGACAGTCTGAGGAGTTTAACCTTCTCCGAGTCTTACCTTCCTAGCCATATGCTAAACTAAAGAGGACTGTTTTAAACCTAGCCTTGAATAAAGAATAACATACAGCATAATATATAACATAATATACAACATAACACAATATATATGAAGTGGTTCTTGTTTGTACATGAAACTGTTGTTGTTTCTTTACAGAGTGGGTGGATCGGTGATGTGGCGTTGAGCACTCGTGCCTCACAGTAAGAAGGTTCTGGGTTCAATTCCACCTTTTGCTGTGGAGTTTGCATGTTCTCCCCCGTGTTGTGTTTTCGGGTTGTCCATTTCCCCTACCCCTAAAACATGTCCAACCAGTGTAAAGTGCTTTGTGACTCTCATTCTGTGAAAGGCGCACAATAAAAACCCATGACTTTTTTTACTTTCTTACAAATGACCAAAGTAAGTAATAAAAACACAAACGTAGTCACATGTTAGACGTTTCCTGCAAAGTTATGAACATCCACATTTCATAATTGAAGTAAAAGTGCTTTTAAAGTGCTTTTCTGGCACCGAGCCACACCAGCTGATTAGTGTTATAAGAATATATTTTTGAAATCCCTTTGTGACAATTTATATAGAACATTTTACTTCTCGAAACCTAAGCTCCGCCCACTTTGCAGCTCCACTGACATCCTGCATTTCTTCAGTTCAATGTTACAAAATAAACTTTGATAATAACGGCTTATTAAACGAGCGCGAGGTCTGTACAGAGAAATATCAGATCGAGCCGTGGCGAGGTCTGTGCAAAAAGACCAAAGTCTGATATTTCTCTGTACAGACCGAGCAAGCAAGGTTAATGTTTTATTATATGACTATTTTTAATGTATACAATTATTGATCGGTTTCAACTAAAAACACATGCAGCCAAACTGTCAAATGGTGACATGGAGAACTTATCAGATGATTGAGGTCGCCCGCTGTAAGTTCTCAGTCTCTTCTCTGTCTTTACCAATGCTTTTTAGATATTTGTGAAGTATGTTCATGTCCGACTTGGTTTTCCTAATCGTGTTTTTACCTTTTTGGTCTGTAACGAAGTTGTCATTCTCTCCTTGACTGTTAGGAGTTGTGTTATCGTCGTTATTTGCTGTTATTACTTCCTCTGGCTCTTCAAACTCGTCCGGATAATATAATGAGCGACGACTGGGAGCATTCTCCTAGTGAATTCTTTCTTTTTTACAGAGGAAATATATCAAATTTGATACGCTCTGCGGACCAATTGTCATGGTAACGGTCCGAGATGGGAAAATATCAGACCGCAAATCAGCCAATCAGAGCGCGCGAACAATCCAGGTCATATAATAAAACGTATTAATATAAGTGAAATAATCGTGTGAAAACATGCAGGTGCTGTACCCTACTACTTCCTATAAGTTTCAAGAGTGCAGATTGTGCTCATTACAAACTTTTAATCTCATTTTACATCACACACAATCTTGGGCCTATATACAGAAAGTATAATCTAGACATAAATCATTCTGAATGGCTTGGAATATAGCGTGCTTGATGCAAGGCCATAATTATGTTGTGATACAAGCAGTTTATTGCTCTTACTGTGATTTATCATACAGCATTGACCTTATGCCACACTTGGAATTACATAGGAATTCTGCAATGGCAAAACCACATCTCATGCATCTGCTGAATTGGAATGTGTAAAAGGCACTCATAGCAGCGGCTTTAATGCGTGGTAAATAGATTTGCAAATAGATAAATGCCAACCCTGAATTCCCTTCATTTGGGCTAGTTCTGGCGATTTCTCAAATAACCTCATCATGGCTGAGAAGAGGAACGTTATTATCTGGCTGCGGTTTCATTAGTTAAAACGTTGTGGCTAGAATACCTCAAGCTAAACTAGTGCGCGCTCTTTTTAACAAGAGCAATTTGTTTGTTCGATTGGCTCCAACGGCTCCGCTGAACGCGACTGGAATGTGACAGCTTGTGTGTACGGTTGTCAGAAAGTCCATACTCTGACAGCAACTACAAATACAAGGACCAGATAATCCTTGCACTAAACATTGGACATTTTGTGAATAGTTTTAGAATTATCTCTATCAGGGCTGAGATAGGATTCAGTGGTGTGTGACGCATTACAGATAAACCGTATTATTATTCTCATCAATCAAAATGAATCATGGGCCTGAAATGTTCCTGAGACATCTAGATATTAGATAGACAGTAGATATGCTGTTTCCTGAGTGTCGTTACAATCACTGGTGGATTGTATTGCGTATTTTAATCTACAGCTATGAGAAAATAAAGGCTTTTTAAACTTTCCAAACTATTGACCATGAGTGCCTTGGATTTTTTTATCTTTTACCTAGCCTGGTCGTACCACACCATAGTACAAATTACATTTCATACTAAGGTCTGGATTTGCAACAGATATATTTTAGTGACATACAACAAAACAAGCTGGAGGTTGTAGCTGGAGGAATTTAGAACATCCTGTTTTTGTAAATTAATTCTACATTTGTTGTGGATTGAATATTAAGTATCCCAGCTTTAATACATGAAACACCTTACAAACTAGCCTGTTTCTACAATATCCAGGCATTTATTAATGTAAGTGTTGATTTAATGGGGACAATACATTAATTTTTTATTTTTTATCATTTATTCATTATGGACATTGCAACAACATTGGACGAACCAGATGAATTTCTGTAAGAAAGCACAGG